TAACATCGGCAACAAGAGCATTTTATTCTTGTAATCTGAATCCGAGATCATGCATGCAATACTTTATATGATTTTCTTTTTTTTCATTTTTTTCCTATATACTGACTAGCTTGGTCATTAAATGACTAGGAAAAGCATTCGAAACGGCAAACACATAATGTAATTCTCATTCAACCAAACCACCGACAATACCAAAGTGCACCTTGAACGTTTGAATTTTTCTTTTGGTGCATTCATTCACTATGGCGCCCCACCATCTTGCTATCTTTTTTCGGCGCGATTGTGCACACATGGTTCGCTGCCTCGCTGTGCTACCTACCATTGAGCGAACTCAATCTTAGAGCTTACTGTCCATCCGGGCAACAGAGAAGTTGTATATAACATTCTTATTTTTATTATTATCGTCTAGTCCCATCTAAGTTCCGCCCACAGCTGGAAAGCATGATTGATGAAATTCTGCAGAAAAAGATAATTGCACCACCAAACTCACCGTGGGCTTCTTCTACAGTGTTAGCTAAAAAGAAAAATGACTCCTTCCTTATACGCGTTGATTACCGGAAATTAAACGCAGTGACTCGGAAGGATGCTCACCCTTTTCCAAGAATGAACGCGACGTTAGGAGCATTATCAGGCTCCGTCTAGTGGCAGGTGGAATCACACCCTCGTGACCACCACAAAACTGCTTTTAATATAACCACCGGGTTGTATGAATTCCAGACCATGCCTTTCGGCTTAGGTAATGCACCAGCAACGTTTCAAGGGTTGATGCATACTATACCTAAAGGATTAGTTACAAAAGTTTGCCTGGTATATTTAGACGATATCATTGTGTTCAGTCACACCATCAAAGAACACATTGAGAGACTGCGGATGGTTTGGGATGGTTGGAGGAGGTGTGACTGAAAGTTCAACCCATTAAATATTGTCTATTCCTGAGGCACATCGTCAGCGCACAGGGCGTTCATAGCGATCCAGAAAAATTGGCAACAGTCGAGGAGTGGCCCATATCCCAGTCCACGAATGAGTTACAGTTTTCTGGGGTTAGCTTCTTATTACCGTCGGTTCGTGAGAAACTACTCAGAAATCGCTGGCCGCTTTCAGTTGGTCAGTGCTAACGGTGTCTTCAGAGCTTTTTTTGTCTAACACAAAGAATTTATCCATACATTTGATGACTTTATATGATCCGTCGTATGGGGGTTCAAGAGGGCAACTCATAGAGTCACGACGAACAAATGTATGTGAAGTTTTCAAAGAGGGGTGAACAAAGATGTCTGTGAACTGAAGTCTAAGGGGAGCAGTTTTAACTGGACGCATTGCGTTTGTAAGCCTGCTGACGTATGGGGCGTTATCTACTGCTGGTGAGAAGCTAGAGGGAGGAACAAACTCACCTGGCAGTCGTAGTGATGTGCCATATACTATATCAGTAGTAGTGCAACCAGCATCAGTTTTCACGGCGTTTCGTAACTCTAGGAGAACTATCGGTAGTGATCAGTCCAATGTGCATTGTTCGCAGCTGATAAACCAGTTTTCAACCTTCAGTGCAGAACTTCTACCATACCATTAGCTTGAGGATGGTAGGATGTTATTCTAAAACGCATGCAGCCTATGATTTAAGTCAAGGCGAAGAATAAGCCGCTTTCGAATCGCCACCCATGATCAGTTGTTATGAAGGATGGGCGTCCAAAGTTTGCGATCCATCGTTAGACAAAGACGCCTGCGACTGTTTCAGCAGATACATCTTTGAGGACTACTGCTTCAGGCCATCGTGTAAAACAGTCGATGCAGGTTGAGATATAGACATATCCATGAGATTTTGGAAGTGGGCCAATCAAACCCACATGAAAATGGTCGAAACGAGCATAAGGGATAAGAAAGGTGCTAAAAGAGCTTTTGGTGTATCATACTACTTTTCACTTTTGATAGGCCAAGCACGTGTGTGCCCATTCCCTTATTTCTTTATTAATACCAGGCCAACAAAATCGACTAGTTACGAGGTTGAAGGTAAACACATTATTATTACCACCCTATTGGGTTCTACATTACTATTTGTGCCAGAGAGTGGCATTACGTATCTACAGTTGATTGTGAACACAGTTGATACTGTCCTGATGGAGGGCATGTTAGTACAAGTCTCTGGAGAACACAAAGGGGCTGTACAACGGTTGATTTCCGAGTTTTCCGAGTTGGTATCGTGGTCCCCGGCTGACATGGAGAGAACGGCAGCTATTCAGCACATTATTGAAACTGGTGATTGCGCTCCAATAAGACAAACACCTCGTCTAGTCCCAACTAAGTTCCGCCCACAGCTGGAGAGCATGATTGATGAAATGCTGCAGGGAAAGATAATTGCACCATCAAAGTCACCGTGGGCTTCTCCTACAGTGCTAGCTAAAAAGAAAAATGACTCCTTCCTTATACGCGTTGATTACCGGAAATTAAACGCAGTGACTCGGAAGGATGCTCACCCTTTTCCAAGAATGAACGCGACGTTAGGAGCATTATCAGGCTCCTGGGTGGGATAAGCCATGCAACGTATTGAAGACGTTACGGTGATAACTTATAGGCATGATGGGGCCAGATTTATCCGTGGAAACGTCATATAGAATAGTACCTCTACCTATGCGTAAAGGTTACTCGGCTTAATGCAGTCTTGTTTTTGACAACTCATGTTGAAGCTCAGTATCTTCTCCTTGAAGACGAGCCAGTTTCACAAGGTCTATGCCGTCTATTTGGGTGAGCGAACAGTGTTGTTCACTCCGGATATGTGGCGAATTTCCGATGTGAACCGTGAAACGTATTCCAGTTGTCGTGACTCTCTAGGTGAATACTTATCTGAAGTTGAGTTCAGAGAGTACGTCAGAGGTTTGTGGTCAGTGTAAATTATGAATTCACGACCCTCCACTGAATGTAGAAAATGACGTATAGCACAGTACCTGGCCAGAAGTTTACTGCCGAATGTGCTGTACTTCGTTTCTGCTAATTGAAGGCGCCTCGAAAAAAACGCGTGTGGTTGCCACTCTTTGTTAACTAGTTGTTGCAGAACTGCGCCGATTGCAGTGTCTGATGTATCAACTGAGATACTTAACGGTGCCGTCGGATCCTGATACATGAGAAGTGTGGCTTCCTCAATAGCTTTTTTTACCTGAGTAAAGGCATGTCGAGAAGAGGCGTCGAGTTCGATAGACTTGTTATTCCCTCGAAGGAGGTCCGTCAATGGCTGAATCAGAGAGAGACAGTTGGGAATGAACCGTCGATAATAACTCACCAAGCCGTTAAAAGTGCGAAGATTTTTCACTGTCTTTGACTCCGGAAAGTTCAGTATCGCCTCGACTTTAGTAGCTAGTGGACGAATACCTTTGCAGTCAATAGTGTGTCCCTGAAAGCTGAGTGAGTCAACGCCTACTTGACACTTTTCAATAATAATGGTAACACTATATAGGCGTAACCTTTCAAATGCCAAGTCCCAGTGTCTAAAGTGAGTTTCCTTGTCTGGACTGGCAATGAGGCAGTCGTCCAAGCATGCGTATGCAAAGTCGAGAATGCGAAATACTCCGCCAATGAAGCGTTGGAATGTTTGTGCTGCATTCCGGAGAACGAATGGCATACCTAGAACCTAAAAAGTTTGAAAGACGAAATGATGGCAGTTTTTGGAATATCTCCTGGCGCCATCGGGATTTGGTAATACGCTTTAACCAAGCCTGTTTTCGAGAATATAGTTGAGCCAGTCAACGTTGCTGTCCAGCCGTGTATGTGAGGCAATGGGTAGCAATCGGGAGTTGTTTCGGCGTTCACTCGTCGGTAATCACCAGTCAGTCGACAATCGTTGCTACCTTTTTCTGGTACCATATGCAGTGGGGATGCCCATGGGCTACTCGATGGCCGAATGGTGCTAAGGGTGAGCATATGGCCGAACTCATTTCTAGCGAGTCATTGTTTATTCGAGGCATTTTGTCATGCTTTAGATGTCATGGATAGTCCTGAGGTTATGATATGATGCATAACATTGCTGGTTATTCACGGTAGATTGGTAGACGGACAATTAAGTTCTGGGTACTTATTAACAATCGGTTGGAATGTTTGATCAAAGATTGCCTTCTTCTAAACGAGTGACAAGCTATGGCCTACGTAGGTGATGCCTTCAATAGACAGTCTAATAGTACCGTCTATCAGTCGTTTTCGGCGGACGTCTACGAGTAAATCATGATGATTAAATGGGTCCGTGCCAATGATGGGCATTGTGACGTCAGCGAGAGGGAAAATCCACTGGGTAGGATTGCGTAAAACTACGTTCAGATAGACGTATTTCCTACCAAAGGCTGCAATTGGTTTTCCATTTGCAGCCTGTAAGTTGAAGGTAATATCATTCCGTGAATCTGCCGCTGTAGCAGGAACGACACTGACTTCGGCGCCTGTGTCGACTAAGTATCGGGTCTGGTAGGCGACTAGTGCCACCGGCGACGTTCGCCGCTTACGACAACAGATTTAATAAACTCAATAGGAACTTCAGCCATTATATGGTTTGAGGCAATCAGCAGGAAGCCTTAGACGCTGTTTTCGTGCTAGTTGGCGCTCATTAGCAAGGCGTATCTGCAACGTTGAAGGAACTCATATTATATTCGAACCCGCGTCACCCAAGGCTGCAATCGGAGACATTACCACTAAGCTATTCAGGCTCACGACTGACTTCCTGTAGAACTGCACTGGATAATTTTGACTGAATACCAGATAATAACTAGTGTTATATGTGCGTCTATTCCTATCTTTGGTGTAGAGTGAATTCTATCAAGTTTGCGAGCCTGACTCACTCAGTCGTAACATCTCTGACTATAGCACTGGGTGACGCGTGTTCGAATATCAAAAGGAATATCAGTTTCTTCGGCGTTGCAGATACGCTTTGCTGATTCTTAACAAGTATTTAAAAATTATTCCTAGATTTGATGAAGAACATCTTTTATTCACAGTGAATCGAAGTAACTTGGTTTTGTTTTAATCCTCCATTATTTACAACGTTGTCATGTTATTTTAAAGACGGCGATTTGAATATAGTATGTCGTCATACAAAGTAAGGTTTTTGCACCAAATTATATTTTTTGTTCAGCCAGGGAATTCCAAACGTGAAGAGTTTCGAAAGTATTTGGAGAAGTCAGGGGTAATTGATGCTTTAACAAAGGGTAATTTCGCCTTAATTAAAATGTCCTAAACTTGTAAAGTACTGGTTGGATTATACGAAGAATCAGAAAAACCTGACAATGCTTTAGAGTAAGTGCGCTGGAATTTTATATGTATGTGCGAAGTTATTAATAGTTTGCAAAACTACATGCACTGTGCCATTATGTCTTGAATACTTCCAATTTTATATTATTTTCAAATTTTATGCATACTGGTGTAACACACTTTCCCCACCTTTCACCTCTACAAGTGAATATCTGTACACGCAGTGAGTGTGTTTTTGCTGCTTGAAACAGTGATACTGCGATAATAACAGATTCAGATTTATTGGTTGAGGATAGAAGGCTTGGAGCCTATGTTAATCCTTTCCTAGTCAATTTCTCTGGTTGTCCAAATCCTTCTTGAATAATGAATCAGTTGAGGTTGCAGACACCACCACTTCTTCTGGTAGTCAGTAGGTTTCAAGAGTTTATGACTCGGTGTGAGAACCAGTATTCAATAGCACTATGATTTCTTCTTGGCTTTTGAACTCTCCTACTATGTCCTCTAAGGTGTGCCCGACCACCTGGTGGGAAAGAAAAGAGAGAATAGGTCAGGTCCGTAGTCATTATTATTTGAAATTTTAAACATTGTGATTAAATCTCCCCTCTGCCTACTACGGTATGACAGAGAGAAGAGATTTAAACTGTCTCGTCTTTCCTCGTATGATAAGTTAGTCATGCGGTGAACCATACGTGTTGCCTTCCTTTGGACCCTTTCTAGAATGTGTGAGTCCCCTTTAGGACAGAGACTGGCTGTCTGGATGCGGTTTTCCAGTCTTGACATCACTAGGGATGTATGTAAGGAGGTGAACATATCTCTGGTGATTCTAGTAAAAGCTCTGCGAATTGCCCATTAGGACCTGAAACTACGTGCAGCCACCGAGAGACAGTGTGCTGTAGTTTGTAAGTCGTGGCTAACTAAGACACTTAAGTCCAAGTGAGTCTGAACTGATGGACCACGCTAACAATTTGTTGAGGTCCTCTTGCAACGTGAACTCATCACTGTTGCCCTTCAGCTCTCTCAAAATGTCTAAGTCATCTGCGTATAGGACCTTAGGGGAATCGGTGAGCAGAGATAACTCGCTGATATACAAAATAAATAGGAGAGGTCGGAGTACCGTGCCTTGTGGCACTCCGCTACATATTGCTGTCCAAGAGGAGAGTTTCGATTTGACCCTTACCCTCTGCCTCCTATCTATGAGGAATTCCCTGAGCCAGTTCAGCAATCTGCCTTTGATACCAATACTTTCAAACTTCATGAGTAGTCTTTTGTGAGGTACTTTATCAAAGGTTTTGCTGAAGTCTATGAAGACGAGATCAACGGGTCTTCTGTTGTCCCTTGATTTGACCCAGCTTTCTTTTGCAGTGAGGAGATTTGACAGGCATGAGAAGTTTCTTCGAAAGCCATACTGTGCTCTGCCATGAAGCTTTTCTTGATGATTCTTTCCAGTGTCTTCATTAAAGTGCTGGTGAGACTGATAGGCCTGTAATTTGAAGGGCTTTGTCTTGATCCTCCTTTGTGGATGGGGGTTACTATTGCGTCTTTCCAGTCACGCGGTAACACTCCATTAGGAGAGATAGCTTGAAGATCGTACTCAATAAGCCTGGGATGTGAGCTGATAGCTCCTTGAGAAGCCTTGGATGAAGATTATCAGCACCCATTGATTTCCCTGCATCTAGTTTCATTAGGCACTCAACGTGAGCAACTATTTTTTTTCACCTCAAAACGTGACAATATTTGTCTAAGGCACAGTCCACACAATACTCTCATGTTAACCTTCATTTATTTATTATTTATTTTGATTACAGCTTGATGCCACATCGTATTTTCAGCACAAGTATGGCATTTTCAGCATGCATATCGGTAGCCCAAATTTTGCAGGCCGATCATGGATATCGGGTGTGCGTCGGTGGGGAATCGAACCCCTGACCATGAGCATGGTTGGCGAGAGTCCTAACCACTGTGCCACCGACGCATATAATTTAGCAAAACTTTTGACAAGTTATTCTTTGAGTTGTGCATTCCAGTTTATTGCCATGGAACTCTTCACTTTTTTGATCTTACCTCCAATGGTTGCAATGTATATATATATATACATATATATATATGTATACATAAAGTGGTATACTGTTAGCACTGGGGTGAAGAGCCTGCGTAGATAACAGAAGTTTACCTTGTGAAAGTACACGCATTGTATTCATATAATCATAGCGACTGCCAAATAACTGACTGCAACGGATGAGAATATTGTATTAATACTTCAAAGAATAATTGGGTATTTCTATGAAATATTATCATTATTATTATTATTGTTCCCTTGGGTTCCTAGTGGAACATAGGGCTTCAACTGCACGCCTCCACTTGCTTCTGTCTTGTGCCGTACTTTTCACTTGCATCCACGTTAATCCATACTGTTTCAGTTCCTGTTCACACGATATCCTCCATGTCACCCTTCAACGTCCCACTCGAGCTATGGCCTGACGCGCAATGTCACCCAACGGCCTCCTCAGCGAGTGTACAATCCATCTCCACTTTCTCCTGCATATTTGTCGAGCGATTGGTTCCTGATTTGTTTGTTCCCACAGCTTCTTGTTTGTGATTCTTTCCAGCCATCTGATCTTCAGTATGATGCTAGCGAAGACAGTTGTTGTTGACAAAGGTCTGCAACAGGCTGTTGGAAATATTCTTTGTGACCCGCCGCCAAGTTTCTGATCCGTATAGAAAAACCGACTCACTTGACGTTTGTATTGAAAATCCGAATTTTGTTGTTGAGTGTTGCTGAGTGACGAAGATTTCCAGATTGGTTTCAGGTTGATGAATGTGTTTCTCGCCTTCCCGATTCTCGATTTGACATCCTCGTCCGTTCCTCGTGTAGTTGAGACAATGCTCCCTAGATAAGTGAAGTGAATGAAGTAACCTCTTTCAAATCCCTCCCGTTGATGGTGATTGGCGCTGGATGTTGCTGCTGTTGTTGTTGCTGTTGGTTGGTTATTTTCGGAACCTCCATCTTGTCTATGTTCACCTGGAGTCCTGTCTTTGCTGCTTCTTCGACCAGTTTGTCGGTTTTCGCATGTAAGTCTTCGAGTTTGTGTGACATCAAACATAAATCATCCACGCGCGAAATCCAGGTCTTCTAGGTTCTTCACGTCGGTCCAGGATATCTCTGTCTTCTCGTTTCCCACTGTCTGACGCATAATCCAGTCCACCACAATTAGGAATATCATTGGTGATAATAAACACCCTTGTCTGAAATAAGAGAGGATAAACAACCGACTTGTGATTTGGGGATAATGACCGGATCATATCCTGAATATAGTAATGCACAGAAAAGCTCATCAAATCTATATTAAAAAAGATTAGGTTAAGGGCATACTAAAGATCATCTTTTAACAGAGAAGATTTGTAGCTCAGGTGAATGATTTGCTATTAACACTGTTCCCTGAGCTGAATGGTTTAATTGCGGTTTAATTTGGTCGTCCTTCTGGACAACATCTCTTTCAGCGCGATTCTTAGCATAAAGTGAAATGATTTAAATTTTTTCCATGAGTGATAGAATTGCGTCTGTAACAGACATTACATCGGTGGTTGAAGTGGGCGTCCCCTTCGAATCAGAATACAAGAACACAAATCAGCCGTGAAAACATATGATATATATACATATACATACTATATATATATATATATACACATATATATATATAGACCAAATCTACCAACTAATAAAAGATAGATCATGTGACGAGAAAGTTTCAAATCCAAGTCCATAGAAACTGATCAGTACATATGTAAAGATGTTTACCGGGAGACGCATTTCTATCACTACTCATGCGAAAAATTTTAATCAGTTCACTTTATGCTAAAAATTCCGCTGAAGGGGGATGTTTTCCAGCCCCGAGGGGGGATAACGAAAGCTCCGCAACTGAACCCCAACCAGCTCCTCAGACAACACTACAGTACTTGAATATTTTGTAAACTGATATTAAATTTTTCATGGTTGTACGCAGCTGACAAAAAATTGAGAAAAAATAAAAGGAAAAACGTAATTTTGTTCTGTTCAATGTGTTTTTATTGCTCTGTTAGTGTTCAGTATAGTGCTTATATGCTTATTAAATCCTTCATATGTATCCCTGCAGATGTTATGATTCCCAAATCTAATAGTATAAAGAATGGCTGCTTCTCATGCTTCAACATGAATGATGTCCACAAGTGTCTTCAATCTCTCAAACCTACTCAGTCCCTTGGTCCTGATGGAGTTCCTGCTGTTATCCTTAAGAAGTATGCTGTCATCTTATGTTTCCCATTAACCAACATTTTCAACGAATCTTTTTCCAAAAGTATCATACCCGACTCATGGAAAAGTATCAAGATTGTTCCGGTGCCTAAATCAATAAGTAGACCTACTGTTCAGTTTAGACCCATTGCTCTCACCTCACCTTTTTTAAAAGTTATGGAAAGACTTATTTTACTTAATCTTGAACCCTCTTTAAAGCCTTTCAATGACCCCAACCAGTTTGCTTATAAACATAGTAGGTGTACCTTAGATGCTGATGACCTCTCCGTTTCCATGTCTGTCAACTCCAAGTCAGATTGTTCCAAATTAAATAACTTTCTGTCGGAAATTAGTCAGTGGTCCTCTTCAAACGGTCTTAAGCTAAATTCGTCTAAATGTCACGTAGTCAATTTCACTTTCAGACGAAAAGGTGACCTACAACAACTAGCTAGCTCACATGGCCCCACTACCATTGACGGCATACAGGTTGAAACTACATCGAATGTCAAGAACCTTGGACTTACTATTTCCTCCAATCTTTCCTGGTCCTCTGACATCATCCTAGTTACTAGAAAGATGTTTCGCTTAACGTTCTACGTTAGGAAGTTACGGCAGTCTGGTATAAAGCAGTCTTTGCTTTCTCAGTTTATCAACTCTTATATTCTAACCATCCCTCTTTACTGCTCCCCATTAATTTTTCCTGGACTACTTAAGAAAGATTTTGCTTTACTGCGTAGGGCACTAAAAGCTGTTATTAGGGCAAGTGGGAAATCGTTAA